AGCGTTGTCTGGCTTCCTCTGTCTTGGCATATGTCCTGTGCACTTTAAAAAACATTGGGGTATGCATGGTGTGATTTTTTTTTTTAATTTAAAAAAGCTTTTTACAGAAAAATGCAAAATAATGATCTCATCTGGAGAATGACGCTTGCAATCCTCATAAATGTATTTCTGAAGTGTAGGTGTTGCTCAACATCTGGATGTCTAAATCCAAAGGCAGAGGCTGTTTTGCAATGCTCTGCCTGTGTACAAATATAATTATGTGTTTAAGAAATATTCTGAAAACTACTTGTTATTACTGAAAAGATTGTATAGGAGCCATCAGAAGCTGGGTTTGATTTATGGAAAAGTTGCAGATTTAATTCTCAGACTCCAAGAGCTCGAGTAGATTAGTATGGAGACTTACTGTGGGACTTGCAAGGATTCCAAAATAAAGTGTGGAGAAAAAAGAAAACCCAGAATGTGTATGCTGCATGACAATATTTAATGGGAATGAGAAGCTGGATATACATGTGCAAAATTAGACTGATAGGATATAATCAAAAGAGTTCCAGGACTTCATGAAGGGTCTACAATGAATCTCCAGTTCCATGATTTTGCATAGATTGTTCTTCGATCAGAAGTATTTTACAGAGAAATCTGCTGTTACAGTTGCTTGAGGTTATTTTTTTTACCCTGGTTTGCAATAAACGAGGTATAGGCAGAAAAATAAGCTGAGAAGCCATAACATCGTGGGTCTAAGCAGAAGTAAAGCACAACAAAGACTTACAAATGCCTAATTTTAAGAAATGCCAAGTAGAGCTGATATTTTAAATTGCAAATGCTGGTTCAGCAAAATATACAAGTGAGTATTAATTTTGATAAAATTTCATTTTTGAGACCAAATTTTCAGTCATACAATTTTGAAATGTTTGTTTTTATTTTGAGAAAAATTGATGATAAAAAGTCAATATTGGCACAAAAACTTTAATTTATTGAGAAATACATTTTTATTGAACAAAAAATATTTTTAAAAATCTTGTTTCTTTGAAAACTGTCTTTTTTATTTAATCCTAATTTTGAATCAGATCAATAATTAATATTTCAGTTTCTTCTAGTTTGGAAATTCTAGTCCTCATGTAAGTTTTAGTGCCAGGAAGCCATGCTTTTATTGACTCCACTGGGAACTGTGGGAGCTCAGCACTTCTATAATCCATTATCCATAAACTTAGTCGTGGTCTGTCTTACTGTTCAGTTCTCCTTTTGACTTAATCCGCAGATATCCACGCTGGATTTAAGCTGGCCTACAAGTTTTATAGCAAAGAGTTTTGGACAAGTGAGCAGGAAAAGAATTACAGTTTCCAGTATCAAAAATTGGTAGTCCTGAGTTACATGCCGTCCCAGAACCACACAGACCCCTAAACCCATGAGATCCCCTGGAACCAAGTAAATTTCCGACATCGAACAATGCGGTAGATCCCACTATGGTTTGCTGAGGGTAAGTGGTGAGAGTTGGGCCAGGATATATCACGGAGTATGGTGGCGAGTCAGGCTCCACTATGTCCACTATCGTATCAGGATATTTTATGACACAGGTCTCATTGGAGGTGAGGGCGAATGGCTCTGGACATACCACCCCCGGTGGCAGGCAGCACTCGTTGTATGGAGACATGTGGCAGATCCAGACCTGAAACACAGGAGGAGGGGAGGGAGAAAAGGCAGTTGTTAGTCCAGCGAGAAGATATCAAGATTTTGGGAAAGCAGTGTTGTGTGTTGGATATTGTGATTGCTGGCAAGAAGGGAGATTACATGGTGGAAATAATTTGGGTGATAGCGAAATGCTTGTCCAGTTTCCTTTTTCCATCCAGTAACTCTTCTTCTTCCTAAGTACCCCTTTTAAGCTTCATTTTTTCAATATCTGATGATGGCTTCTAGATCACCACTGTTTTCAGCCTAAAACGCTCTTGTGCTATTGCTTCTCTTCTTCCCCGGATCTTCAGTGTGCCTCTCACTCCCATTGCAAATTCAAACCCCATTGAAAGCTGTAACCCCAACTCAACTCTTGTTTTAAACTTCAGTTCTAATCCTCGCAGCACTGGCAAAACCAAAATGTGGGGGTGAAGCAAGTTACCTCGTCTCACCTGGTTAGAACTGGAACAGTGTGATCTGGGATGGAGACCCACCCATCTTTGATTAGTCTCATTATATATACCATGTGGATTACAGTATCTTCTATTTGAAATCACACAGCTCTTTAAGACTCTACCTGATATCAAGGCCAGATTTTCTTGGGCATTGTATAATTACAGATTAACAGGTCGTCCTTGCCCTGAATTGTGCCCACACTGATTAGGCAAGGCAAACAGAGTGAAGTGGAAGTGATAATTTTCTCTACTGTATCAGTGTGAAACTGATGTGGAAAAGATTAAGGGCTGGTGTAGAGCATGGACCTAAACAAATTTCCTGAATGAGTCCCCACATTTACCCAAGGAGTGTGAGATACAAAATTCAGGGGAGATTTCTCATGTCTCCATCTAAATGTCCCATTTTAGCCACACGCCATCGTTGCCTCCTCCAATCCTCAGGGCTGCGTCTTCAGCATTTTCCAGCTGACCCTATGCCTTTGACTTGAAGGTAAGAAAAATGCAACAACAGAATCTTTTGTCAGCTAAAGAGCTGGATCTGAAATGGCTGGTTTTGCCTTTGGGGAGAGAATTGCGACCACAAATCAGTCTAAGGGTAGGGATCCTTGAGTGGTCCGATGCAGACAATGAATTTTTCAGAGCTCATCCTAGTACCCATGAAAAGAGGTGAAGAAGGAACACTTGTACGTTCCTTCTAGATTTGGAATTCAGCAACACAAATATATTTTAAATAACAACAGTAAATTGGCTGTTTAGTAAGAAAAATGAGTCCCAGTCTCCATAGGATTTTGAAAATATTTAGGGTGAGTTCTTCAACTGTTAAAAGACACCGTAGCTTCTTTGAAGACAGCTGAGGGTGAGAACATCATAAAAAGAATTATTTTTTTCAATGATAATTTGTTTAATTAAACCTTGTCTTTGTAATATGAAAAGGATACTTGCCAGTATGAAATTATTGAGACTCTTTACAGTTCTGAGAGAGTTTTATATGCCATCCCTGGTTTAAATGCACTGTCCTGAATGCTAATGTAGCTTGCAAATGCCAGCTTACATCTCCAAAGTGTAAAACTTAAATTGACTTAAAGCTAAAGGACCATAGAAAGTCAATTTCTGGAAGAATACCCCCTTGCCATTTCCTAAGTTTAACCTATCGCTTGATAGTATTTAGATAACAATAAGTAATTGAGTCAAAATTGACTTACCCAGCTCACCAAGGAGAAGAGCTTAAGAAAAGTGATTAGAAGAGTTCTACGTAGCAAATGCTTTTATACACTTAGTCAAATTGCCTGGAGGATGTGACACCCTTTTTGCATGGAGTCTTAATGAGTTGCAAAACAGACTTTGCTGCATGCATAACTTCTGCAAGTAATGAATCTGTTTTGCTCACTGTTTGTGTTTGTCAGCTACTGGATCTTCACATAGTGTGCTGAATACATGCTACACCCTGCAGGAAGGATTTACTTTAAGATTTCTTGGATCAAAAAGAACGTGATATGCTTCATTAACCACATTTCAGTTATATCAGGAGTTGATCAAGTGCTCTTTTATTTGCATTTTTTTTCCCTCTCTAATTCAGTCTGTGAAAGATTCAAAGGAGCATCAGCAGCTCCATTTGCTATGAGGAAAAAATATTTTATTTTTGTTTCCCAAATCTGAAATGTTGTCCGGTGTGGAAGAGAAGAGTTTTCCTCTGGATTGCCTTACAGGGCATTAAGAGTTGCTGTATATAGCTGTTATCCTTCTGAGTGAATATTCATGGATGAGGAGAACTACTCAATAAATTTGTAGCCATTTCCCCAATGAGACTGATTATCTTGGAGCAGAATTGATTCCCAGGGAGAAAGCTCTGTCTTATCTAACATCCACATTAGTCTTTACAAATAATGCTTGCATAGGATTTAAGTGGAGCGTGTGGATTTGTTTCAGCTACCTTTGCAGGGTTTGACTGTGTTGTAATTAAAGGCAGGCAGATGCCATCCACTTTTTTTTTTTGCCACTGACTCAAAATGAAGTCACAGAGCATCACAGAGCTGGGTTAGTTTTTTCCCAGCTTTTTGACCGGGTTGAAAAGGACGATATTATAGGAAAGTTAAGGTTGCAACTGGACAGCTCCTGCAACTGCACTGCAACCTCCAACTGCAATATGGATTTCCTTGTTCAGGATGAAAGATGGCATTGCCACTTTATTCAGGCACATGGGGATCCCTAAAGGGTCCTTTTTTTTACGGGATGTGGATGCACCAGCTACTCTGGAGAAGGTAAAAATCAAAGGCTGAAATATATTATCTCATTAACACTTCAGAGCCTTGCAGAATGACTGGAGTCAAGGCTGGTGCAAGTTTGCATAATGTGGTGTATTTATTTGTAGCTGGTTTTCACATGTTTTGGTTCCTTTTTACCTCTCTTTGCTCCATCCTGGTTAGGAAATGTCGCACCCAGACTGATTCCTGGCTAGATATGTTGTGCCCCTGTGGGGATTACTAGAGCATTTACACTGATTTGTGTAAAATATTTCAAAATCAAATCTGGCTGCTTGGAGCTGTAGGAAAAAAAATTCTCTATTCCTTCTGCATAACATACATAAAATAAAGCCTCTCCTATTCACTGAAGGAAGCTCTTTTTTGGGGCAGCAAAGGTTTTTGGTTGGTGGTTTTTTTTACAGATTAAGAGCTCTGTTGCTTGTCTCCCATATTGATTTTGAGTTAGAAAAGTTAGATTTGCCTTTCACTCTTAGCATTGTTTGGACTGTTCTTTTTTTGAGTAAAATGTTATTACATCTTAGGTTTTTTTTTAGGACTGTAATAAGAAATGGGAAAAGTAAGTAATTTTCTGATTCTAGTAGGCTTTTTGAGGTCTCCAAGGAGAAGGGGGGTAAAGGTAGGTGGGAATATCCTAAGATTTACCTCTGTAGTCTGTGTAAGCATTGCTCTGCCACTGGTGAGCTGTGTAACATTAAAGCTATGCAGCAGGATTATTCATCTGAAAAGTCATAGATGCATAGGGAGATTAATATATATCTATTTATATATGTTTATTTTCATTCAGAATTCATTTAGTAAGATTTACCATTTAACCACAATTAAAGCAGTTGTATCGATGTAAAATTCACACAATGTTCTGCTCATAAGCCAAAAGAAGATAAACCTGAAAAACCTGTAGGTAAAAAAAAAAATCCAGTTTTTAACTGACTGTAACCCCCTGCAGGCTCTGTTCCTAGGCAGAAAGCCTATCACATGTGGTAGATCCCTTAATTACTGGCATTGCCCCAGTAGGTCAGGTCTATAGACAAAGCAGCAGGACATCCCGTGATGGTCCAGGCATGGAGCCCTGCAGCAGGAGAGCCCCAAGGGGTTGGTGAGAAGGAGCCCGAGAGCGGTGGTGGCTGTGCCCAGGTGAGCTGAGTGGCCCTGGGCGTCACCTGAACATCACAGGAAGATAACTGGAAATGCCTGGCAAGAAAAGCTTAGCCGCCAACTGTGCTCATCTTCTGTGGTTGAAGCGTTTTGTGCCATTAATCCAGGCTTAGTGTAACCCGTGCTCCTCCTTATCCTCGTCTTTTCTAAATACCATTCCATAGGCACTTCAGTGCTTCGTGTTCATTGCACCCCCTTTTTGCAGCTCCTTGTGCTGTAGTATGTTGTGGGATTCCTTGAGTCTTTTACTCTCTTTGCAGTTTTGGGCTCTATATAAAATGCCACATTGCACTTCCCTTGCAGCTTAATTTTTCGTTGCCTTGGGCAAATTTTAATTCTAGTTATTATCTAGGTTTAATAAAGTGAAGCACAGAGGCTAAATGAATTGTCAGAGCTCATTTGGTGAGCAAACGGAACACCCTGGAGTAAAACAGAGTTTCCTCATTGGCATTTATTTTATTATTTATAATTTGAATTCCAGCAACTCTTTGAAGTCTTAACTGACATTGCATTGCATCGGGCAACCAAAGGGCAAGTCCCCACACCGAACAAGTGTTCGAACTGATTAGACCTGAGAAACAAAAGAGAAGGGATTACTATCTCTTTTACAAATGCAATATTAATGCACAAGGATTAAGGGAGGGGCTGTCAGTACGGAAAAGTACAGTGAGCACTTTCTGATATGTCCTGAAATGACTTTTCCAGTTTTAGACGGGAAATCTGTGGCAGTCAGGAAGTAAATGCAGACCTGAGTTTTAATAAATTATTTCATTTTAAGAGTACCCATTAGTTTAATATTCTCCATGTGCTATTTCCACAGTAAACTGAGGATCTGGTGTAACAGCTCAGTCTATGGGGTGACTGATGTGTGTACAACTGCAACTAGACCAGTGGTTTGGACAGCAGAACATCCTTCTCTCTGGAATAACCAGGAAATACAAGAGCTCCGAAATTGAGTCTAAAGAGGAGTGTTCAAAGGGATTAGAAATCCTGGAGTAGCGGACATCCACTTGGTCTGAACATAACATCCCCCTCTACTTTGAATAATGAGCATTGATTTTTTTTTAAGTTTTCTTTCTCTCCACAAAACAGAAAAAAGTGCAGTTTTTCAAAGC